GAATATTTCCCACTCTCAAGGATTTTATGTTACTTGTTAAATATTCTGGTTATTCAATTTAACTTTATGATCCAATCTATAGACTGAAACCAGGATTTGCAAGTACCAGCCTATGAGCAATTCTTGCTTCCCTTAAACTGGGTTTTTATTTTATTTTTAAATAAAGTAAAAACTCAGGTCAAATCTATCTTTGTGCTATTGAATTAGAATTCCAATACCATGTAGAAGTGTAAAAGTTTTTGTCCTTTTATCTGGTGACAAAGAACTGACGATCACTACTGCTTTTGATTGAATGATGTAGTCTGAAAAAAAGTTGTACAAAATAAGGAAAGACTATTCCAGAGAATGACTCTAGAGAAGAAAAAGGCATTGTGCTTTCAAAGTGGTCATGAAAACGACACCACAGCAAGTTCTGACAGAAATGAGTAGATACTGGCCAAACTTTGGGATCCAAATTGCACACATGGAATCTGCTTGTGTATTTAGGAAGATAATTTTGCTTCCATGTGTTTCATTGTTTATCTGTCATCTATCAGTCTTTCATCCCCACAGATCTATTCCAACTGGCAAATGGAGATGAGGCACCCAAATGTACATGGAGAAGCGGGCAAGTATTCAATATTCTTACCACCTCTGGCAGGAATCTAAACATCACAAAAGTGAGGCTCTTGTTTGGGTTTGAAGGCACAGTGTATGTCAGAACGTGAACCAACTTGCCAGCAGAAGCAGCTTCAAATCCCAGCTCTTCACCCAGGCTGCACCCATACTATCATATAAATGTATCTACAGATACAGTACACAACCTGCTTCCATTGCACCACAGCCATCTTTCAGGCAGAAACTGCAGAAAAAGCAGCAGCGAGATGCTAAGCCGGCTGAGATCGTTTACAGGATGCTGTTTGGCAGAACTGCTACAGGTTCAAGAGTACAGCTCATTTCCTGCAACTGGACAGATCCGTCAACCAGTGACTTAAGACAAGTGTAACTGTAATACAAGTCACAACTCAAAGGCTGAAAGTGCAGCCACAGAACACAGTCAATAGAGGAAAAGAAATGACTGCCTCAGCCTTTGTTAGCGTGCTGTTGAGTCTCCAGCATGATGCACTAAGCAGAGGCTATAGCCACCTGTATATCTGTAGTACACTAAAGATATGTTCAGTTTAGCCTTGATTTTTTGCACTTAATATTCCTCTTTTTACTCCACTAAAGAGTAAAGTAAATGCAAAGTTCATACTTCACAGCACCTTCATCCCAAGCTATGATGGGATGCCATAACTTCAACTGTTGTAGCTAGAAGAAACCAGTGGGCAACCAATTATAGAAATTTAACAACTCAAATAATTTAACAATTCTGGCTTTACGAATGTCAATTGTGTAACACAAAAATGATGTGCCGTTGCACCAAGATTAACTACAGAAGCTGGATTCAGTAGCAGCAGAGATCCCTCCTTCCAGCATAATCTACAATGGTTGCAGGCCTTCCTCAACAATTATGGAAGGCATTTTCTCCACAGGCAGATAACACGGGATGGAAGGTGGGATGATTCTGCCTGATAAGCTGCCACATGTGTTACTCCCATGTGATTAACCACCTGACAGGACAAAACAGCATGAGAAACACAAAGAATGAAGTCTGTTTGGCTTTTCTACTAATGAAATGGGCACTCAATGGATTCTTGCTAGCCAGTCAAACTGCTTTCACAGGATTTCCCAGAGTATTTTTAAAAGGCGATGTCAGTGATTGACCCGGGGAAGGATTTTTAATAGATAACGCCTTCTCTTAGAAAGTGCTAAAATGACAACTGCTGAAACAGACATTCTTATGATAACAATGACTGAAAGCTGTTAGAGCTGAAAATGTAAACTGCTTAACCAATTTTGCTCTATGTATGTCATTTTATTCAGCTAGTGGATGACTCCCTGGCAACACAGTTTGTGTGTGTGCGTGTGTAACTTGCATAACAGACATGCAAAATTGTCATTATACAAGGTTCAGTTACTAGAACATGCTGTTCTTCTAAGTCATTCAGAAGAATATTTCAATTTATACAGCTTGTCCACAACATGTTGGATGTCTGATCCTTATACACACATACCTGCAACAAGCAGTGAATTAAGCCATTGTATATTCTGGAATTAAACCAGGACAAAAAAAATGCATTGTAACTGGCTGGATATCTCTTAAAAGATAAAGAATAAATACTATAAATGCAAAGCTTGGTCAGAATCTTTACTGCAAAAAGTGAACAAAAATTCAAATATTTGGGAATCCAAGTTATTCAGATTTTGCTTCCCTCACAAATGTAGAAAAATCAAAATTTGTTTTAACCAGATGATGCACCGACACTTCTGTTAATGATGAAAATTCAGAGCAAGAATACCTTGCAGTTGACTGCATTATTGCCACCCTTGCATACTCCCACTGGAAAAGTTCCCACTTTGAACATATCCCTCATGTTACTGTTCCAGGACAAAACATGTCCAAATAAGATTTCTGCACAGAAGATAAATGCATTTGACAACTTGCTTGTCTTTGTAACTTTTGTAAATTTACCCCATTGCAGAGATAAGGGATTCATCTTGCTTTGCCAAAGTATCTGTTTACAACCTTCAGCATTTTGGGTTCTGAATAAATCCATATCAAAGGAGAACTCAGTTTGGTGCCAGAACCACTTGGTTTGAAATGGCTGAGAATAGAGTCCTACATCAGGACATGATAAAATGTTTACAAATTCTGAATTCTACAATCATTAATTCCACAGAACAGATAAACAACCTCACCAAAAAATAAGAAAACAGTGGTACTGTAAACATGAAGATGCCATTAAGTAACCTTAGAGAGATTATCTCATTTAAACATGGTTGAAACAAGAAAGAGATTGCATCCCTTTTTGAAGCTGTTTTCCTTTCCTTTACTTACATGTTCAAATTCTTACTTAATCCTTCCTCTGCAAAAATTAGGTCATTTTTGCAATGCTTTCAAGGTAATTGCAAAACTAAAATGGGCAGCATCATTTTTAAACCAATGCCTGTTCTGCTGTCTTGCCAGACAAGTGGAAGACCACTGCCTACACCCTGAATACAGTCTCATGAAATGAAAGCACAGTAAGAATCACTAAGATTGGAAAAGAGCATTAAGATCATCTCATCCAACCATCAGCCCATCACCACCATGCCCACTAACCATGTCCCTGGTTGTGACATCTACCCTTTTCTTGAAAACCTCCAGGGACCTACCAGAAATAGGTTTGAAGACAGATAACATCTCCTCAGCAAATATATTTCCTTTTCCCCTTAGCTTCCACTGAGAATCCCACAGAAACGCTATGAGCTGAGGCTTGGGAGTTCTTGTTGACACATCTCTTCTACTCTCAGCTCCAGTACCTGCAGAAAATTAGCACAGTACAAGATACAGACTAAAGAACACATTTGCCTCCAGTTTATACTACGTATTTTATAGCACATGATTATCTTGTGAAGCCAAAACATCCTTTACATCTCTCTACATGATCAAAGTAGTGTGTCCAACCATCAGTTGGATGTTCTGTGCCAATGATTCATAGCGCACTGACATCATCTTGGTTTTGCTAGCTATGTGGGTAAGATTTCTGCAAACCTATGGATAGTGAAATTAAATTATAATTTACTACAGCAGGGAACCCATATCAGTGTAGTAAATCAGGGCAGCTGGATGCACTTGAATCGTGCTCGAAAACAAATCAGACAATTACTGAAATGTGTGTAATTTTGTTCCAAAGGAGTTGCCTATTTAACTTATGAGAAGTTTTGCTTTAAGTGACTGAATTAAAGATATGCAGAATTGCATTCCAGAACCTGTCCTCCTCACTTTGAGAGTAAAAACATCTGTGAAAGTCTCTTCAAGAACACTGTGCTCGTCTTTTCATCAGATGTTTCTCAACGTACTCACTTTTAAAGCATACAATTGTTCAGGTAAGTAGGGGCTCAGAGCTTTAGCCCTTAGAGTCCTGTGTGCTTACTCTGCATTACTGAAATCATTCGTGATAGAAAGCCACAGGACTGGCTAAAATTTGGCTTTTTAACTACAACACAGAATGACAACTTTTCCATGTAGTCAAATCTGCCATTCTGAAATGAGGGATGACTGCTTCCTACTATGTTTTGATGATTAAAAAGAGACCATTCCTTACAACGAGGGATAAAACTGAGAGTGGTTTAAGAGCAGAAGTTTTAGTTTAACTACAGTTTTCTTATATTCATAATATTAACACTAATTAGAGATAAACTGACACAATGACCAGGCAGAAAGTAAGAAAAAGCAGAAGGCAGACAAAGAGGTCTCAGTCCTGCAATCTGCCCTGCATGAATGAATCACAGAGTCCAGAGGATAAACCTACGTTCTAAGGTTAACCTATTCAAATGCAAGGGATTTAGCAACATAAGATGGAGTGCAAGGTCAGAAATGCAGTTCAGGAAGTACAAATCTCTTTGAGCTACCAGAATAAAGTGGCTAATGTAGAATATATCCCTGGATATATTCAATACCAACACAGCCCTCAGTAAGCTGCTCTATCTGGCCCTGCTGTGTGCTTGGGGTTGAACTGGACAATCTCCAGCATTTCCATCCCTGCATCACCAGTATTCCTCATCCCTGGAGACACTCACGGTCAGGATGGACCAAGCTCTGAGCACCTTGACTGAGCTGTAGATGTCCCTGATCACGGCAGGGAGTTGGACCAGATGGCCTTTAAAGGTCCCTTCCAACCCAAACATTTCTATGATTCTACGACTTCCTACCAACCACAAATATTCTGCAGTTCTGCAAGATCCCATTGAAACACAATCTGTTTTCTCAGAGAACGGACATCGATTGGCACGACAGTGTATGCTCTGCTCATGTGCAGCATATGTTCTATGCCAGATATTGCCATTTAAGAGCCACGTAGGTTCACTTGCAAGAAATAATTGCTAAAAAAAAAAATATTTAGTGCTCAGATAATTCTTTTTAGAATCTGCTTTGCTTTAATTCTTGCCAGGCATCAATCAAAATAAATCATGGCGTATTTTGTCTACTTCTCTCAAGGTTTTGCAAAGTGGAAGCTCACATGTTTGAAGTAGTTTTGACAGATAATTCACTTTCTGTGTTTCCTGACATTCCCCAGGTGACTCACATTTCTCTGAAAGAGAAAGGGAAAATACCACAAAACAGACTTTGCGAGCATAATTCTGTGCTGTCTTCCTGTTACCTCTCATGCAGGATGGCTGGCGCTCAACTCAAGAGCAATTCTGTTGAAGTTAGTCACCATGATGCATTGCTTCCTCACCAACAAAAACTTTCCAACCTCCATGAGATTAACTCTTCCTTTAGCGTATTATGCTGTACAGATCAAGGAATGCTAGAGCCATCGTGCAAATTAGTTATTATTAATTATTCTTCTGGAGGAGACTCAGGGAAGTTGCTTTCTACAACTTCCCACAAGGAGGTTGTGGAGAGGTGAGGGTCAGCATCTTCTTCCAGGTTACAGCAATAGGATGAGATGGAATGGCCAGAAGCTGCTCCAGGCAAGGCTCAGGTTGAGTATTAGGAAACATTTCTTCTCAGGCAGAGCAGTGGCACAGCTGCCCAGGGAGGTGTCCCAGAGCTGTGGGGACGTGGCACTGAGGGACGTGGTCTGTGAGCAGGTGGGGTGAGTTGGGCTGGACTTGGTGATCCTAGAGGACTTTTCCAACCTTAATGATTCAGTGATTTGTGATATAGCCTTTGCGAAGCTTTGACACCGAGGCAAAAGGTCAGGATTCAATAACTGGAGACTCCCTGTTTTAAAGCACCCTCGCAGCAAAAAACAAGCTCTGATCGAGTCCTGCTGCAGAAGGAGGGGGGCAGGCAGCACCTCCCGGGCACACAGCCTAACACAGCCCAGCATCGCTGGTGTTCAGTGAGACAAACCTCAGCATCTCCTGACTCACCCCCCACACCCCGGCGCCATCTTGTGACTCGGCACCCTCCCACCGTCCCTGGGAAACTCCATTCCCCGTGAAGCCCCGCGGCAGGGTGGCGCTCCGGGAAGGCGGGGCGGAGGGCTGCGGGTTCCGAGCAGGTTCGGGCGGGACGGCGGGCTGCGGGTCCGGGCTGTTCCGAGCACTGCCCCCCCCGAAGGGTGCCGGGTCTTCTGTGCGCTCCTTGCGGGTCGGTTCTGACGGGGGACCGGTCCAACCTGTGCCTCGGAGCCGGCTTTCCCAGCTGCGAACAGCTGGACGTGAAGCGATAACAGAACTCGGATGGGTGTTAATGTGCGTTTTTACTGTGTGTTCTGTAGGTCGTTCTCCTGAAAAGGCACCGAAGGCAAGAGGATGGAAGCAGGAAGCAGTGCCAAGGAAGCAGTGCTGATCACGGGAGGAGGAGGTTATTTTGGCTTCCGGTTAGTGCACTAAATAGCTCCGACATGCAGATAAATGGAACGGGGCTGATCAGCTTTGTAATGGGGATTTAGATTATCATCCTTCAGCTGCCTCAGGGGACAGAAGGAGAGAACGAGCTGGGCTCTGCCAAAGAGCAGCTGAAAACAATGGCATTTCACCCACTTTGTGAACTCCACAAAGATGGAGACTGAGGAAATGATTCTATACTTAAGCTAGGCAGTTGGCTCATCACCACAGTAGATGGCTGAACTGAGTCCAATTAGGAAAAAAAGGTATCGAAATAGTTAACGGGCTTCTCTTATCTCTGTTGAAGTGTTTTATGCGTTCTGTGTTATGTATATAACATACGCTTTCTGTCCTGTTTTAGTTTAGGTTGTACCATATACAGAAAGGGAGTTGATGTGATTCTCTTTGATGTCACGAAGCCACTTCAACCTGTGCCAGAAGGGATAAAGTTTATGCAAGGGAACGTCTGTTGTCTGGCTGAAGTGGAAGAGGCTCTTAAAGATGTAATCTGCGTGTTCCATATTGCTTCCTATGGAATGTCTGGCAGGGAGCAGTTGAACCGAAAACTTATAGAAGATGTTAACGTGAAAGGAACAGAAAATGTCATCCAAGCCTGCAAGAGCACAGGAGTGTCAAGTCTGGTTTATACAAGTACATATAATGTGATATTTGGAGGCCAGATTATAGAAAATGGGGATGAATCTCTGCCTTATCTACCTCTTCACCTCCATCCAGATCACTACTCCCGGACCAAATCTTTAGCTGAAATGAAGGTGCTGAAGGCAAATGGTACTGAGCTTGGAAATGGGAAAGGTGTACTGAGGACTTGTGCTCTCCGACCAGCAGGCATCTATGGGCCAGGAGAGCAAAGACATCTTCCAAGAATAGTTAGTTACATTGAGAGGGGACTGTTTAAATTCGTATACGGAGATCCTCTTAGTTTAGTAGAATTTGTACACGTTGATAATCTCGTTCAGGCTCACATCCTTGCCTTTGAGGCCCTCCAAGCCAACAAAAAGCACATAGCTGCAGGCCAAGCCTACTTTATTTCAGATGGCAGGCCAGTAAACAACTTCGAGTTTTTCCGACCACTAGTAGAAGGTTTGGGATACAAGTTCCCAACCTGCCGCCTTCCTCTCTCACTTGTCTATTTTTTTGCATTTCTTACTGAAGTAGTTCATTTTCTCATCGGCCATGTTTATAATTTTCAGCCTCTCCTCACTCGCACAGAAGTTTATAAAACTGGTGTCACACATTACTTTAGCATGGAGAAGGCCAGGAAAGAGCTGGGGTACGAGCCTCAGAAATACAGCCTGAATGAAGTGGTTGAGTGGTTTAGATCTCAGGGCTGTGGACCAAAGCCAAGGAAGTATACCATTACACATCTCCTTAGGGATGGAGGACTGCTCTTGCTGTTTATTGCTGTGCTGGTCTCATGGTTTCCATCTGCAGTTATATTTTCACCCTGAAATGAAGCACTGAGTATGGAGGACAGGATTTAGTTACGTTGTATACTCTTTGTTTTCAAGTGAATTAAAAATATATATATGTTTGTACTTCTTGCATTAATATCTTTAACAGTTCTGTCCCCATTGAATAGAATGGTTGAGCAAAAATCTTTAATTTTTATAACATATCATTCTTCTTCAAAGTAAAATTGATCAGGTCACTAAAACGATGGAACTGTACTGCTGCAAGCAGCATGTTATTTTCTGGTGCAGTGATACCTTTAAGACTGACCTTTTCTACCCAATAGCTTATACTCTTGGTCCATATCTTTTATTCCTAAGAAATTTGTGCTCCAGATGTGATCCAGAGGGGAAAAAACTTACTCTTTGATCACATTCCAAACCAAGTTCTGCTTTCCATCTCGAATGCATATATGCCTAACCAATAATTTGGCTTAGTTGCTAGAAAATAAATTACTGTTATTTTTTAAACTAATACATTGTGGTGTACTTTTCTGAATAAACTCTGTGTTATATCTAATGACTCTTCTGGAAAATGTACAGTTGTGTACCTAAGTTACAGCTAAGTGCTTGAAGCAGCACAGATTTGTAGATTTTCTAACTAAAATATTCCTGTTGAAGATGAATGAGTTAGCTAAAGTGCATTATGAAACAGCTGTGATTTTTCCCAGCATTACTGAGCAGTTAAACAATCATATTTAAAGGACTCTTGTTAAGTGATTACACTCATATTCCATTCCTTATAAAATCTTTATAGCCTCTGATAACATTCCTTTAGTGTTTGATATCATTAGAACTTCAACTTTATAGCAGGATGATAAACCAAAAGAAACTAAATGTAATAGTTAAGGGACAGCTCAAGGCAGCACTCACTTTTCTTCCCCCCACCTTCCCCTCCATAACAAGGAATAAATTGAGGCAGTGTTTGCATCCTAGGAGTGTTGAACTCCTTTATCAAAAGCTACTGTGCTTCCAACAGATAACATTTCACTGTTCTACCACACCGACTGCAGAAGGGTCACTTACCAGAAGCCATTAATATACGTCATCATCAGTTTGCAGGAAAATTAATCTTTCATTTTAATAAAAGATGAAGAAAAAAAAAAGTGACCTCACAAGAGCTTTGGCCTGCTGTTCTCCTAGAGGGCCACGCTTTTCAAATGAAAACCACTGGTTACTTCCTCCTCTCCATCCTCTGGTTCTGACACAATGTTAGCAAAAGTAAATGAAAAGATTTTAATGCTAACAGAAGCAACAAAAAAAAAGACAATGTACAAGAAATTGCAGATGCCTGCTAGCTACAGCCGTAACATCGGTATTTCATGCTAACTCTTGTAAAAAGCAGATCTTTTTAAGATGTGGAATCCCACTCCTGTGCCCTACAGGATTTTTTTTTTTTCTATTTGCTATTACAAAAAAAAGGAGCCACTACCATGCATACTTATCTTAATGGTGGGGTTGACGGAAAAAAAATAATCTATGAAAGTGTCCCAAAGTGTAAACACATGCTGTTAGTGCTGGCTGAGGTTAAAGTCCTGGATATCTGTTTGTGTACAAAGAAAACTTGGGATGGGTGGCAAAGACACAAATACCAAAACTGAAGCAGCTCAACATCCTGCAGAACAAGCACAACAGGTGAAGCTCTTCATCTGTCTGGAGTCAAGGACAGAACTCTTCACTTATAACACAGCAAGAGGTGCTATTTTGTCCTAACTGCCCATAACTTATGCTTGAGCACATGGTGCTAAATCAGCCCTAGTTGAGAGAAACAAGCAGCCACTTGGCAATGCCTACCCCAAACCAAACAGCAGCCTATTTGGCTCCATCTAGTAAACAAAGCAAGAGTCATGTTTGCTCTGTAAGTAAACTACAGAAGAGATGAAGGATACGTTCCCTGTTTTACGTTCCAAAATGAAAAGAAGAAATGTAAGGCTTCAGGAGTTACTTTTAAATTACTTTATAAAAATTACTTAAGACTTACGTGTGCACAAAGCTAGTCACAGCTGCTCTATTTCAAGTATTTTTAAAATGAGAATTATTTTTCTGTTATTACTACTTTTAAAGGAGCGACTGAGTAAATTAAGGTAATTCAATTGTTTTGTCTCTTCCAAAACTTTATCTATTATTTGTTTTCCTTAAAGTGAATTACCAGAAATACACCTTAAAACTCAAAAAGCAGAAATGAAAGTTTGCTAGAGCTCAGAGTTATTCTGCAACGGGTAAAAAGAATGGTGCTGATGGTTTTAAATATCTCTTGGCAGCTGCTTAATCTTGCATAACGCAGCACGTCAGCATAAAACTAATGTCTGCCAGATGCACATGAACAACTTATGATGTGTGTGTATATATGTTTTAGAAGTTTAAATGTCAATGATCCTTAAGTAGTATGTTTTTTGTAGCATCACCTTCTAAGAGACCCAATTTTTCTTTCATTTCTATCGCTAATTGCCACATACTTGCAGCAGTACAGTGATACCTCAGCAGCATAAATGCCTCATTGATTCCAGCTCAACATATATACATTTTTTATTAGAAGACTGAGCAAAATTTGATTCCCAAGAATCTCAGCAAAACAGAAATTCACAATACAAAGACATCATGCCTTCACCCAGAAACACTTATGCCCATGCAATTAAGACACCCTTATTAGCAGAAAGTGCGTTAGTACAGTTTTACCGTGAACAAAGTTCCAAATGACTACAAATTTCAGCTCTGCCTTCTTCAGACGTTATTGTTTGAGTTGATACAAACCTGATGCTCACTACAGCTGGAGTTAGTATCTACCTGTTACTGGAAAAGGTCAGTTAGGAGTTGCATGTTAAACATGATCTTTGGCCTTTTCCTTCTGCAGTGCTTGTTTGTATCCAGATGAAGTGTAACAATAATGACTTCATGAAAACAATCATTAAGTCAGTTCATCTTAACAAATACAGAAATGCCCTTCCTCCAACCTCTGGTGCCACACCATAACATTCCAGCAGACCGCTGTTCAATTAGAACTCATGCATACTGCCTGGAGATTTGAAGTCATGACATTCAATAAACCACACTTAAACAAAGAAGCTTCTGGGATCATTCACATCACTGCTATCAAAACATTTTTATTAAAATAAGTTATTTTAAGAATTTAAAATAGTTTCCATAAGAATATAACAATTCAACCGATAACATTCTTCTAAATGATTTTCCTCCTAGATTATAAAATTAGCATGCACATTCAAACCTTGTTTCAGATTAAAACAGCTGCAACTGTAAAGAAGTTGCTTGAGTCCACCTTGACAAAGAATTGAGAGACAGGCTTTTGGAGTTAAAACAATGCAAGATACAAGAAACAGTACATAGCCTTGCATAACACTCAAGTCAACCAAGCAGCCAAAGCAGTAATTTTCTTCTGAATGTAACATGTTTATACTCAGGGGAAAAAAAAAAAAAAAAAGTCTTTCTGAAAAACTAAATGGATTTTCATAAATACCAAGGAGTACCTCTTATGACTTTAAATATGATGTTTGCATGGAGATTATACACACAACTTTCTGAAGAACTGTAAGACGTGCTAATTCTTAAACATTTGCACAGCAGCAAGGAACTCCTACGTTCATCATGCAGTGGCTGTTCTGTGTCAGGTATAGACGTAAGGAAAGTAGTCGAGCCAAATGATTCACCCAGGCCATGTGGCTATGTCTGCTCTGGAACTGAGCTAGAAATAATAAAACTAAACCACAACAGCCTAGAGAAATAGAATTTGGTCTCCCTGAGCATTAGTATCTTGTGGTCCCCTGTTTTTTGTGATCAGTACAAGCCCAGCTGTTATTCAGCTGCCTAAAAATACTGTTCCACCTGTGGAAACAGCCTCAGGACCTTCCAGACACAGCTTCTGGCCACCTTATCTGACCAACAGTGACAACACAGTGTTCTCAGAACATTGAACACGACACACACTGACTGCTGAATGAAATATATAGCACAGGGAGTGATTATATGACACACTAAAATATGTCCTGGAAAACAGTACAAAATGCACGTGCACCAAAGGTCCTCACCACCTACAGCAACTGGATCAGCTCACCATATGCAGGTAAGCCCAGGTTTGTACAGCAGTCTAAGTTATTGCTGTACCTCTAAAACCCACAGTTGATACCAAAAAAAAAAAAAGAAAGAAAGAAAAATTGCATCCATCTAATCCTTGAACAGACCAATCAGAACTGGCGACTGAAGAGATTTCAGACAGGAAGAAGAAAAGAAAACCCCTGTATTACCTTTAACTTTGTCCTCTTCTCTTTTTCAGATGGCTGATTGGTATTTAATTTCTTCATTAAAAATATCTAAAAGACGACATTCCATTGTGGGATGCTATTATAGCATTTCCATCTCAAGATAAGTCAGATAACTCTTTTCATAATATCTAAAACCCAAGTGGACTTCCTCAAACCATCAGATGTGAATAAACAACGGCATCAATTAAGCACATCTTGGAATAACAGAACAGGGAGAAGGAGAAACCAAAAATGTCCGAGGCATCTTCATCAGGCAAGGAATCCCAAATGCATGCATGTCTTCTGTGATGAGAAATACAGCATGATGTATGCAAAATTTTATGATTCAGACAGTCATTTAGACAGAACTTAACTCTTGTGCACACCTGTGCAAGAAATTCATTTATATAGGCAGCAAATCTTCACCCGTGTAGAGAGAAAGGAACCAGGAATTTGAGAGTAATAAAATAGTGCTAGCACAAAAAACTGACATGAACACAAACATAACTGGTTTTAAATACACCATCCAAGGGCTTTTGTTTCACTCTTGCAGTAAAGCACGCTTGCTAATGTACTGAGTTTTCGCATCTGTAGCTCAATGTTCTTCACTTGATTAAAGATGTAAGACTAATGTACCTCCGTATCTGTGCATACTATCATTCTTGGATTAGATGTATTTTGGTAAAACAGTCTACATTTACAGAACACTATCATCTGATGCTATCACCTAAGTAGGACTGCAAGATTAAGAATGGACAGTTCATTAAAAAAATCATTTCTAAGCACATTAGCAGCTGAAAGGATTTGCAAAATGATGCTATATCAAAGTAAGTGCTTTTCAGAGTTGAAATGCCTTTCTGAAAAAAAAAAAACAAACAAACAAACAGAAAAAACACAACAAAACACCACATATTTCCTACCACATATTTACATTAAAACCTTTCCCTCCAATACCTTAATTTAGGAACATAAGTTCAGACGGGCTGCAAACACAAGTTCACACATTGTTCTCTTACACCTTTCACAACAAAGCATCCAAAGTCAAAGAGGATATTTGATTTCAACAAAAGTAACATATCTGCTACTCAAGAAGGGCACAGGGAACTACTAATAAGAGACAGTACAGTATGAGCTATTAGCTGCCCAAAATTCTTTATACAGTATCAGAAGTACAATCCATTGCCTAAGGTAAGGTAATATACATTTCAAAAAAAAAAAAAAAAAATGTTGGTGCAAAAGTGCTTTTACAGCATTTAATAAATTAAAAACTCAGTACCAGTTAATCTTAAGGAGCCAGGTTGTTAAAGTGGTGTGATTCCATGCATGCAAATTGTTGTGAATGTCTTATCTATACCCTGCGTACACAGCCACAATGAACAATTTAAACTTGTACTTCAGGTATTGATAAGCAGTGAAGTCTATGCAACTACCCACCTGCAGATTCTTTAACATACAGAAAGTCTGGCCTGCACAGAGGTACAGGCCAAACTTTGTACAGAACATAAATTATTGGGAATTAAAACAGTTTTTCTTATAACAAGAAATTAATAAGAAAATCCATCTTCCCTCCTCTTCTTCCTCTCCGATTCATTCAGCATGATGAGATCTTCACAGAATAGAACGACCAGGATAAATTAATATCTCCCACCTGAACTGCTCCATAAAGCATGCATCAAAGAATGATTGCTTTAAGAGTAGAATTTGCTGTTACTGACTTTCTTCTCCCTTAATCTTTTAGGGAAAAGAAGGAAAAAAAAAAAAAAAGGAGTTAAGTCTCCCTGATATTTCTCAGAGGGAAATGGTGTTCTATATTCATTCAATGTCTAAGTAATGCATTAGCAACAAGGATTGCAAATTTTTTTCCTGCAATAAATGAGAGTAAACCAGTAATTCATACAACTGTTCAGCACACACACATGCACACATAAAAGTAAAAAAAAAACTATTGAAAGAAAAGTCTTCCTCCCATTTCATCATCTGAGAAAAGCCAAAAGATCTACTCCATACTTCCATGTGGTCACCTGGTAGAGGAAGCCTCTCCCCTCCTTCTACCCAACCCAAAGGTGGGAGCAAATGAGACATACCCTTTCCTCAGCTTTGGATAGCACACTAACATTTAACTGACAGTTCTGTGGTCTTAAAATTGTTCTCATTTTTTGCAGTATGCGTCTCTGGAAGCATGTTGTTCCCACATCTTTAATATACTAAGGACATCATGAGGGACATAACTTTAACAATGTAGGAGAGGTGGTTTATTTATTTGGCTATATAGAATGTATTTCCAAGCTTTTCTCCTAGAAAGCAGGAGAAAAGAACATAAACTCACAGGATTACACGTCTCACTGTGATTACTGAAACCAGGATTTCACTGAGCACACATTTCACTGAGTCTGCTGGCCTCTAGTGGTTTGCAGCCCTGCCTTACTTCAGATACTCTAATCCTACTCTGACTATTCTTAGATGCTTGTTTTAATAAACCTGAGATTTTCTTAACATTAAGCCATACATAGATGGAGCTACCTTGGAAAGAAGAACGATTATCGACCCACCTCCGGTTACATGTTTCCTGACACATCTGTAGTTTATGTTCATTCACATTGAATTCTCTTAACAATGCATCTCTGTTAGGATTCCTTAAATTCACATGGGTATCATAAACAAATAGCTGGTTATTAAGTTCCTCCTGGCGCTTCCGAAGTTGCCGACACGAAGAATAAAGCTCTTCTTCATATTCCTTTGAAAGAATATTGGAAATCAATGTAATAATACTGGTAATCAGTGAACATAAGACATACCTAAAATGATACAGAATCAACAGAGTTCAGGGGGCTATTTTGTTTTCCTAAGCACATTCCATTAGCTTTATCCGGAATTGTGAACACTATGAACACATTTTGGAAAATATTCTCCCATAACAAACCATGTCAGCGTGTTGAGCAAAGGACAGCAAAAGGACATCACTGTAGGACATCAGATTATATATTTTAAAATACTTTTTAATTTTGTTGTTCTCGTTTTTGACAGCAGCATCTTATCTGTGGATTAGGTGACATTAACAATCTTGGTGCTTTCCTATTGAAATCTAAACCACAAGTAGAAATACTGATGAGTAAACAGGATCCCTAACAGCAGCAAGCACCAGATGACCAAGGAAGGACAGGTCCTTTGTATCTAAGGATCTATGGCCATTTCACAGTTTCAAAGGAACAGGCTAAGAATTTGAAGATTAATTTACAGGGGGTCTGAGTTTCTGTTGTATGTGGCCCATGGTAAACTGTCTCAAAATTCTCCTCAAGCATAAATAATCATATAATATGATTCCTCTCACGACTTCAAATTATTTTAATACTTCAAAAACTCTGCATGCACAATCCGTCTCTTTTCTAGCGTTACTTCTGGGAAATAGTATTGGCAGCAACAAAGTCTTAATTTTCAAATCAGCAGCAAAACAAGATACGTATCCTAAAAGAAATGACATGCAATCAATAAATGTAACAAATCTAAATATTTTCAGAGATGGCATACTAATAAGAATGCCCCTTTTAGGACTCAGTCCAGATCCACAAAAACTGACAGGTTTAGAAACATAGTCATGAAGTTTTGCAGTTAAAGGAACAAGATCCTTTCCTGACTTTTCTTTTTCCTCCCTAAACATATTCCTACAGTTCCCTGGTATAAGATGAAGCAAATAAAAGCTAAAGAGATTCACACACTTTCTGTTGCAAGTGAATAAATTTTCAAGCTAATAAGACATGCTTCTAAATGTAAAAATCTCAGTGTAACCAAATTTCTACAATATCAAGAAGATTGGTTAATTTGATCAAAAACTGCATGAGGCCCCACATAACAGTTCACATATATATATATATGCTTACATTTGCTAGATTCTTGCTACTCTATTCCTAAGGAAATTTCACAGCCATTCTGATTCCCCTTTATAACTGTGTATTTCATCTCCAAGAGAATACAGATAGAGTCCTGTATATAAATAGGCCTGTTATTAAATTATGCCATTTTGTGAAGGGTCATTATCACAAAAAAAGAAAAAAAAGGGCAGAAGAACAGATGGATACAGCCCTGATCATTCCTGATGCTTCTTGAATGATCTGGCAGAACTTCCAGAAGTTGATTAACCATAGCAAACCTTGATTTGCTACAGACTGCCAAACAAAAGTAAATTTGTTTGCAACTTCTCCTGCTACTGCATTACCATCCAGAAATATCAGGCCTTGCAAAAATACAGAGCTATGCTGCATCTTCCCTTGGCCTAACAAACTAAAGGTGTTTCAAGAGTGTGAAATACACTACCACCAAAGGACTTAGTGCTGACAGAACAGGAGACATGCTGCTGCTATGAACAACACTAAGAGATACACCTGCCCCAGGCAAAGAATGATCTGAATTTCTGCAGAGGAATTAGCAATATATTTACGCACCATTCCCATGCTCAACATTAGGCAACAGCAAGTTGTTACCAGTTTTCTCAAAGGCAACAAGCCAGAAAATATGTAAATATATGAGTTTATCTGGTCTCCTGGATCAGACTCATGTTCTTGGAATACGAACATTTCAAATGTTATCTTCAAAGGACATGACTCTCTTTTCTTTAAACATACATTCTTTGTCTCAGCTCCTAGCCTTCTCCTTCTCCCAGCTACTATGGCTGCCAAGAGCTGATTACACACAG